TGTTTCATCTGAAGAGGACCAGATTTGGTGGTCGAAACTAGTAATGTAATTAACATCTGTTTTTTTAATCGTTACATTTATGTAAATTTTATAAGTTCATTTTAGAATATATGTATTAATTTGTTGTTAATTTTCTTTTCGTTTGACTCTTACAATGCCATTTCCACGTTTATAATGTTTTTAAAGAAAGAGTCCTTTATTTGTTCTATTTTTGTAAACAACATTTTTGTGTAATTTTTGTCTCTCGTTATAGACCTTTGTAAAGTTTGTGTAAACTTTTCAGGTTTATCTGATATTTATTTGTGTCCATATAACTTTATAAAGGAGCACTTATTTCAAAATTTCAATTATATATCTTGTAATTAGAGATTCCAACGTTTAAAATGTTTTTTAATTTTTTATCTGCGATGATTTTTTACCGAGTTGTGTTCTGAATATTGTTCAATTTTTAACGTGAAAGTATTGCCGATCTTTCATTAAGTAATGTATATAATTAGCAAATAATTGAAATGTACTTACGACGTTAAATACAAATGTTTCAACTCGGGATTTGAAATTCCTTCAGTTCAATGAGCGAAAAGAGCGCTGCGACGAGAAAGCCCAAAAATTGACGGCTCTACAGTTCGGCAACTAGTTAGCCTAGAGGTATATTATTTGGCATAGAGTCTTTATTCATCAAACTGTTCAAGTTCAAGCAATATGAACGAAGTCCATGAAACTTCGCAAAATGGGTGGCCCACTTGGCATGGAATGCCCCATATATATTTTATTTTCGCTACTTACATTTCAATAATTAAGTGTGATGTATTCAAATACCGTTTTGTTAATAATTCTGCATTATATAATGACCTATTATGACAATAAAATTTAGCAAGATCTTACAAACACAAAAGTAATCTATTATTCTAATAATTCTATACTGTCAAATTCGACATTTATGTTAATTCAACGTTAAACTAAATTTAAAAAATAAGACGTATGTATATGATTTTGATGAATAATTAAATTTTGCAGGTGTTTATCGTTCGAACAAGAAAGATATGTACATTGATATAAACAACATTCCAGACATGAGTAACATTACAAAAACTGATTCGACTTTGGTACTAGGAGGAAATGTAACCCTTACCATAGCACTACAGACATTCCAAAAATATTCAACAGAAAGTGGATTTAAATATTTAAGTCAATTGGCCGATCATATAGAGATGATCGCAAATGTTCCCGTACGAAATATTGGCACCATAGCAGGGAATTTAATGTTAAAATACGAGCACAAAGAGTTCCCATCCGATTTGTTTTTGATATTACAGACAGTCGGTGCTCACGTACACATCCTGGAAACTCCCTCTCAGAAACAAAGTTTATATCTATGGGAATTTCTGGAGCTCGATATGCACCATAAAATCATTTATAGCGTTGTGTTACCAAAGCTTACTGACCAATACATATACAGATCCTATAAGATCATGCCTAGAGCCCAAAATGCTCGCGCTCACGTCAACGCTGGCTTTCTCTTCAAACTCGATACCAACGGAAAAGTAACAAAACCTTTACAAATTATTCATATTACGTTATCATTAACTACTCACTCACATTTTAATTCTTCAAGTATTATTTGTTTATATTTATAATATTTTTTAAAAAGGTGTTGGAGCAGCCTAACATTATTTTCGGTGGCATCAATAAAAATTTTACGCATGCAAGTGTCACAGAAAAATTTTTGACGTCTAAAATTATTTTTTCATCTTCCCTGCTGAAGCAAGCTTTGGATTACTTATATGCCGATGTACAACCTGATCATGTTCTACCAGATTACTCACCGGAATTTCGCAGGACTCTCGCCGTAGGATTATTTTACAAGTGTGTAGTAAGCATCAAACCGGAAGCAGTATATCCTTTTTATTACAGTGGAGGCACTTTATTACAACGTAGTCTTTCTTCAGGTATATACATATAAAATATCCTGATTGCTTTTAAAGGTATATGTTTTGGAAATGGCATTGTAAGAGTCAAACGAAAAGAAAATTAACAACAAATTAATACATATATTCTAAAATGAACTTATAAAATTTACATAAATGTAACGATTAAAAAAACAGATGTTAATTACATTACTAGTTTCGACCACCAAATCTGGTCCTCTTCAGATGAAACACTTTACGTTGAAATGTACATAATTATGGAAAAACATCAATACATAAGAAAATCTTGTGCATAGTTAAATATATAACTGTTTTGCGCATCGTTAATTTTCATTCCTAGAATTTAAGATTACAATCTTTTAATTAATATATGTTCATTTATTGTTTTCAGTTATATATTTAACTATGCACAAGATTTTCTTATGTATTGATGTTTTTCCATAATTATGTACATTTCAACGTAAAGTGTTTCATCTGAAGAGGACCAGATTTGGTGGTCGAAACTAGTAATGTAATTAACATCTGTTTTTTTAATCGTTACATTTATGTAAATTTTATAAGTTCATTTTAGAATATATGTATTAATTTGTTGTTAATTTTCTTTTCGTTTGACTCTTACAATGCCATTTCCACGTTTATAATGTTTTTAAAGAAAGAGTCCTTTATTTGTTCTATTTTTGTAAACAACATTTTTGTGTAATTTTTGTCTCTCGTTATAGACCTTTGTAAAGTTTGTGTAAACTTTTCAGGTTTATCTGATATTTATTTGTGTCCATATAACTTTATAAAGGAGCACTTATTTCAAAATTTCAATTATATATCTTGTAATTAGAGATTCCAACGTTTAAAATGTTTTTTAATTTTTTATCTGCGATGATTTTTTACCGAGTTGTGTTCTGAATATTGTTCAATTTTTAACGTGAAAGTATTGCCGATCTTTCATTAAGTAATGTATATAATTAGCAAATAATTGAAATGTACTTACGACGTTAAATACAAATGTTTCAACTCGGGATTTGAAATTCCTTCAGTATAGAGGTCAAATATTACATGCAAAAGCGAATTAAAATCCAGATTGGATAAATTTGCAATTATCATTGCTAAAATATACATTTCAATTGTTTGCAAATTAGACAACTCATTTTATTATAAATATATTTATAATTACAATATTCATTAAATTAACATACCGATATTCACATAACCACTTTAATTACAGATATTTTGATTTATTCTTAGAGGAACAAGCTAAGCTTTTCCATTTTTATTTAAAAAAACCTTTCTTTAATGACTGATTATTTTAATTCATTTTTTAGAGTAAAAATTTCTTTAAATTTAATAAAGGTTGTCATTGGTATAATCCAACGAAATTAAATTCTTTTAAATTAAGAAATATAATCGATTCAATACAAACTAAATTTTTGGTATTAAATAAAGTTTCATTAAAAATTAATGCAGATAATACATGGTTGATTTAATATAAAATAAACAGAAATTTTAATATCAAATAAATCATTCTCTTTGTATATTGGAGGAATAAATTAATTTATGTATGAAAAAGCTTTTAATGTATTCCGACCGATTATGCAAAATTAATTATCCAAAATTGCGTATACAAAAAAAAAATAAAATCTTCCTAGGTCGGCAATTCTACAATACGAATGCAAACGTATGGCCAGTGACTAAGCCTATGCCAAAGTTAGAATCTATTGCGCAGATATCGGGCAAAGCCCAATATTGCGATGATCTGCCTCCATTTCACAGAGAAGTGTTTTGTGCTTTCGTCGTTACAAATGTCGCTAGTGGCTACATCTATAAGATAGATGCCAATCAGGTTCTTCAAATGAAAGGTGTAGTGGCATTTTTTAGCGCGTGTGACGTACCGGGAAAAAATCTGTGTATTTCGGCCGCTAACGAGATGATGTCCTTGTCAGAAGACGAGTTACTGTTCGCCGAAAAGGATGTTTTGTATGCCGGCCAACCTGTCGGTGTAATTGTCGCGGAAACGCATAATTTAGCGAATAAGGCTGCAAAATTGGTACAAATTACATATAAAGAATCTCTAAAAACAAAGCCGATAATAAGTATTGAGGATGCTATTAATGCGCATGATGAAACTAGAATCAGGCAAAGCGTCAACATTCCAGCAAAGAGGAAAGGTAAATATTGATAAATAACGACATGATTTAGTTAGATCGTTTTTCTGTTGAATATAATTATTTTAAAAAAATAGCAGTAAATGTATGCTTGATGTTTTTGGAAGGAATAAAATAGGCTGTATATTTACAATCATGTAAAATAGTACACAAAAGTACTGATAGCAACTATTAGAAGTGGTAATTATTAAATTTAGGCAAGTCATATCTAACCATCTTGGCCTTGGCAATTATTGTCAAGAGCAATCTATTGAATGGTTTTCAAAAGTTTTAGTCATCTATTAAAATTAATTAATCATAAAACACTAAAGATAAGATCGAAAGTAAGTATTCTTTTTTACAACAGATAAAGTCATAGTTCCAACCCAGATAGGGCACAAAACTGAGCTCACCAACAAATCAAAAGGGGACTATATGAAAAAAAAGCGGCACTAAGTGACCGACCGTAATAAGCGCTATTCATGATCTCTTACAGTAACATAACAATTTTTTAATTTATATACAATTTTTAAATTAGTTTTAATTCTTAAATTGTTTCATTAACCCTGCCCGCAGTTTAGAAACTTTATATAAACATAAAATAAGGAGGAAAGAATCGTTATTAAATATTTTCATAAAGAATAAATTCAATTTATTCATACATTAACAAAATATTGTATTTTATGGAAATTACAGGATAATGGTTACAATTACATCACAATTATAATTAAATAAAAACTATTTCATAATATTTACAAGTACGTGAAATATTTCAAAACTTTTATATTTTGTTGAACACTTTATTTATTAAAATGTATATACTTTAGGATATATTTGTGAAAAACATAATGAAGAACTTATTTCATTTAAAGTTTCTATACATGTTCCGATTATGTTCAAAAACATTTTTTTGTATTCTTATGGCAACTCATCTGCAATTAGTATTCGACTTTAAGTAGATTTTAACGCAGGCCCGGATTAAGGGGGGGTTAGGGGGGGCTATAGCCCCAGGCCCCACGGAAATAGGAGCCCCCGTTATATTAAAGAAAAAATTTTAATTCTTTGATTAAAATTAAAATTAAAATCATTCAAAATTACTTTTAATTTAAAAAAAAATTAGTTTTTATTCCCTTAATATATAGTAATAGTAGATGCTGTCCCATATATTTTATTTCTCTTTTTAAAGTACATTTCTCAACAAAATTAAAGGATCACTTGTACCACCCTGCAAAAATAGGTAAACTTTGAGATAGAATAACTTCGTGAAAAATCATCGTATCGAGATGTTTAAGAAAGAATTTTAAGGCTTGAAATCTCTTTTCAGACCTGTACTTGTAAAAACGGTCTTACTGATATTTCGTGAAGTTGCACAATCATAAATAAAAGTGTATCAAACCTAAAAATTTTTTACAAAATTTGCCAAGTTCCACGGAGCCAAAAAAAATTGTGCACAAATGCGGTTTACAGCTTTCGAAAGAGTGAATCTTTACCTTCAATTTGTTTTTTCATTGAGCTCTGTACGATTTTTTTTGACCGAGTTATTCAATGTTTAAGTAAAAATGGCCTTTTTACATCAACATTAAATAATTCGGTGAAAAAAAATTGTACAGAGCTCAACAAAAAAATAAATTAAAGATAAAGGTTCACTCTTTCGAAAGCTGTAAACTGCATTTGTGCACAATTTTTTCTTGGCTCCGTGGAACTTGGCAAATTTTGTAAAAAATTTTTAGGTTTGACACACTTTTATTTATGATTGTGCAACTTCACGAAATATCAGTAAGACCGTTTTTTCAAGTACAGATCTGAAAAGTAAAGATTTCAAACTTTAAAATGCTTTTTTAATCATCTCGATACGATGATTTTTCACGAAAATATTCTATCTCAAAGTTTGCCTATTTTTGTAGGGTGGAACAAGTGATCCTTTAATTTTGTTGAAAAGTGTATTAAACTGGATAGTTGAGAAGCAAATGATTGATGTTTTTCCCAATGTTTACATAACGCTTAGAATATTTGTAACTATACCAATAGCAAATTGTGAAGCAGAAAGATCATTCTCTGTTCTTAAAAGAATAAAAAATATGTACAGAACAGTGATGTTGGACGAACATCTTTAACTAGCTTAGCAATCGAATCTGAATTACTAAAGGCCATCACACGTACAAAAATTTTAGTAGTAATTGTAAGGTCTTAAGCAAATCGACCAATCACAATCAAGATTAAGATCTCACATTTTAATACGCTAAACTGTGATTGGCCGATTTGCTTAAGACCTTACGATTACTAAAATTTGTGTACGTGTGATGGTCTTAAGATCGATTGATTTTAATAATTTAGTACAAAATTTTGTGAAATTAAAATTGAGAAAAAAAATTTTAACTAAAGAATGTATTAATTTATTTATTTGTTTCTAATCTTTATATGATTCAATTTTAATGTTTATTGTTTTGGATTAAATAACCTAAATACTGCTTTACGTATGAACGTGATCATTCTTTTTTTTTTTTTTTAAGATTGAAAAGAAGGGCCCCCTAAAGTTAAATAGCCCCTCAACTCTTTAATCCGGGCCTGTTTTAACGTTAGCTAAAGGTTGTGAAAAGGTGACGAGGTCCATCGACTTCTAAAATCCTATATTGTTTTAATTACCGTTCTGATAGTTTTAGTATATGATGCCTTTTAAACTTCTTATATTGGTCTCTGTTATCACCGAGCAGCCTTGTTAATCGGTTGAGATTATTAGGTAGTTTATGACAGTACTTCGCATTTTTTGTTCTAATTTCTTCTGTGATGGTAGGTATTTGAAGATACTCATATATTAATGTTTTTCGTGAACCTTGGATTTGTTATTAGTTCCAAAGACTGTTTTGGTATCGTTGCATATATGGTATATCAATGTTTGAATTGCTAGTTGTTCCCCATAGCTCAATGCCATAGGTCCAAACTGGTTTTAGGATAGCTTTACAATTTTATAGATTTTATTTTTCAGTCCTGTAACTAATGCTATAGTTTTAGCAAATGTGATTGCAAATCTTTCGAAGTTTTTGTTGGATTCCTATTGCTGGATAATATTATTGTGTCATCAGCATAAGTTACTGTGGTTATTCCTTTAATTAGTGGCAAATTTGATGTAAAGATGATATAAAGAATAGGACCCAGTATCGAACCCTGTGGTATATTGTTTTTGCATCATATAATTTGGTGTAAGTTTCGTTTTTTTTTTTTACCCTAAACATCCATCCATCAGATAGGTTTTCAAAGTCGGATAAAAGTTGTGCGGAAGCTTGTTCTTTATTTTATATAGTAAGCCCTCGTGTCACACTTTGTCGAAGGTCTGCTAGTCGTCCAATAGTACCGCCAGAACAGTATTCCTTCTGCTCGATGAATTGCCTTGCATTAACAGTCACTCTGTGCACTTGCTCAATTGTTGAATGACAGTTCTTCAATTTAAGAACAATCTTTTATCATATTTTAAATTACTTTACAACCATAACATTTAAAGAGCTAAAACTTTCCAAAAAACTTCCTCAACTAATAAACAAAATTGTAGTACCGGTAAAAGTTGACAAATCGAAAATTCGTACAATAACTTTTGTGATCGAATGAATAAAACTATGAATTCGAGAGGAATATTTTGAAAAATTCGGCATTTGGCTGTGAAATGTTTCGAAAACTTTTATATGCTCTATATTCGAGAAACATATCGAAGTTTATAATGTTAAAATTTTAAAGAAAAATATTCATATTTATCTAAGATATGGCGAGTTGAACACAAAAATCTATTAAAATTCTTTATTTAAAAAAATTACTTTTTTTGTTTATAACTTAAAAACAAAAAAATTACAATTTGATTTACTGACAAAAAAGACGCTCTATGAAATTTTCTACAAGAATCAGTCGTCAAAATTGAAATTAGAGCAATGTCCAAAATTAACCCTACGGACAATACTTATTCCGTGAAATCCACGCGTATCCCCTTAAAATCCAGCCCCTCAATTAAAGACTTGTCAAGGTCGTAGAAAGGTGCCTTAGACATCAATAAAGATACCTTCGTTAAAGTATATAAACCTTAAAAATAAAAAATAATATAATATATGTGAAAACCAAAAAGTTTCTTATTATTGTTTTACAGGAAAAAATGTTCAAAAAACGCTAAAGGGATTCTTTCGGTGTGGTAGTCAATATCATTACTCCTTAGAAACTCAATCCTGCGTATGCGTTCCTGAGGAGGATGGTATGGAGGTATATCCATCGTCACAATGGATGGATCTCATCCAAGTATCAATCGCGGATTGCCTTAATGTTCCGAACAGCAGGTAACTCATTAATCAAGTTAACCTCATATACTACCATATATGTCGAAGTAGTTATATCCAAAATAATTATACTATTCGTTATACTATTATTTATATTTTAATAGCATGTACAATTATAAAAAATATATTATATATTAGTAGGATAACTTTGAGATCCACTATTATAAGTGTATGTATTTACATATACTTTAAGTAAAATTAAAAATAAAATTATACTTTTTCATAGTTTATAAAAGTAAAAAGATTACAATTAAAGTTAATGTCATACGTAACAATTTACAAAAAAAAATCATATACAATTACTTTTAATTCAATAATACCAGTTTTAACAAATAATAGAATTTATACCAGAATAAATACCAGTTTTGTTATCAAAATCAATTTCAATTACAGGATAAAATCAGAAAAAGTAAAAACAATAGTTACTTCAAGTACAAATTGAAACCTTAGATTTAATACAAAATGAATATTATATATTAAAAACACTTATTATTTTTAATAAAATAAAATAAACTAAATATATATCGAGTACATCAGAATAAAATTGCAAAAGTGTATTTTATAATAATAGAATAAAATTAACACTAATCGCGTAAATTAAATTTTTCTAGCATCAATGTGCGCGTTAGACAACTAGGCGGTTCGCACGGGTCGAAAATTTCACGCAATGCGCAGATTTCATGTGCTTGTGCATTGGTATGTTATAAACTAAATCGTCCAGCGCGCTTTATTATGACGATGGAGAGCAATATGCTATCGATAGGCAAGAGATGTTCTACGCAACAAGAATATGAGATTGAGATAAATAATGATGGAGTTATACAGTATTTCAAATCGAAACATTGGAGTAACTGTGGCTCTAATTTGAATGAACCACAAGCAGCTGTGGTAGCTTCTTTCATGCAAAAGTATCAAAATATTACGTATATTGTAAACAAAAATTTTAGCAATTTAAAAAAGTAATATATTATCTATTTCTTGATGTTTGTCTCTCGCCTTCTTGATCAAAAAGGCAAGAAAAACAGAGACAAACAACAAGAAACAGGAAACAAAAAGTACATTGTAGAAATAGCCTTAGACTTTCTGTGCACAATATTGTAAAAACGAGTAGCAAAGTTTTAAACAGAAAAACTGTATTAAACTATTTTTACATTAATTTAACCAAGATTTTGAATACATTTAAAAAAAATAAGTTGAAAGATCATAATAATAATGTTAATAGAAAGTTACTTCGGTTTATTGTGACAAAATAGATTTTAATAATAAACTAAATCAAATTTGAAAACACTATATCGTGATTAATCTTCCAAAGGCTATAGCGGGATAAGAAGGTCAAAACTGCCCTAGTCTGGATTATTATTTGGAATTGGCCATTTGATAGGGCATATTTAAAAACTCCTTCAGCCCAAATTTCAGCCCCCTAGGATAATGGGTTGCTCCTAACGTGAAAAACGTGTTTTTTAGAAAAAATTTTCTACTGCTCAACTCCTCTTTTTCTCCAAAAAATCTGAAAAAATTCATGAACGTGAGTTTTTGGGTAAGAAAACATCCTAATTTTTTTCAGATTTTTTTGATCAAAACTGTAGCTATGAAAAATACATGAATTTTTCAATGATTTTTTAGGTTATGAAGGTCATATTTGGCCAAATTCTAAATAACATTCTCTGGTGTATTTTTTCACGTACTTGAGGTCTATCGATATTCGCAAATTCTCGCAAGTGCTGAGACACGCGTATATCTCTTTATATAGCATCTCGATTTAATAACTTACACCGGCGTCTAAGGTAGGCTTCCATTACAATATCTTACTGATGAGTCCAGTAGTGGAAGCCGGGACGAAACGCCAAAAATTACGTGATATTCTTCGCAATATAGAATATTAGAATAAATTATCAGATTCAGATTTTAAATTGTAATTTGACTCTTATTCGCCATTTTTAACGTATTAATTACTGTTTAGAAAATTTCTAGAGTATTTTTCTGTCTTCTATCACCTATTGAACTATTTAATTTTTAGGTTATGTGCCAATAACATGGAAAAAATGCGAAAAAATCGTTTTTTATCAAATTTTGAACATGTTCCGGTCCGAAAATGTTAATTCTAAGACCAGCATGCTGAAGTACGTGAAAAAATACACCAGAGAATGTTATTTAGAATTTGGCCAAATATGACCTTCATAACCTAAAAAATCATTGAAAAGTTCATGTATTTTTCATAGCTACAGTTTTGATCAAAAAAATCTGAAAAAATTAGGATGTTTTCTTACCCAAAAACTCACGTTCATGAATTTTTTCAGATTTTTTGGAGAAAAAGAAGAGTTGAGCAGTAGAAAATTTTTTCTAAAAAACACGTTTTTCACGTTAGGAGCAACCCATTATCACCTAGGGGGCTGAAATTTGGGCTGAAGGAGTTTTTAAATATGCCCTATCAAATGGCCAATTCCAAATAATAATCCAGGCTAGGACAGTTTTGACCTTCTTATCCCGCTATAGCCTTTAATTAAATATCGTAAACGACTTTTCATTGTTATAGTAGCTGCTATTTAACTGATACTTGGACATTTGATGGTTTTGACGTGAGAACCGACCTACCGTCGAACACATTTTGTCGGGCATCAGGATCTACAGAAGGATTAGCCATGATCGAAAATGTAATGGAGCACATTGCGAAAGTGACAGACAAGGATCCGATTACAGTCAGATTAGCGAATATGAATAAAGTAGATAAATTTATATTAGAACCCATGATAGTGGATTTATCGGAAAAAACTGATTATCAATTTAACAAGAACAGCATTAAAACGTTCAACAGAAGCAATCGTTGGAAGAAAAAAGGAATTGCTATGGTACCAATGAAATATTTGGTAACGATTGAAGGGCAATTCAATGCAATGGTGTCTGTCTGCGCTCGCGATGGTTCAGTATGTGTAACACATAGCGGAATTGAGATCGATCAAGGCATAAATACCAAGGTATGAAAATGCAATGGTTTATCCAAGTGAGTTGTCATGCTTTTCATTTAATTATCATTAAAATAATGGAAATATTTATATATATTTAAAAATCCTAAACATTGAAAATTTCTAATTAAAAAAATTATGATATGAGATTTCTAGATTTTAATCACTTTTCTTTTTGGATACACACAGTTCTGTATTTTGAATTGCAAAAGATTAAATTCAATATGTAAAATGTTTTACGTATCTGTCAAAACAAAAATAATTATTTTTGAATATTAGATCGCACAACTGACAGCTCATACATTGGGAATCAAAATAGAATTAATTTCTGTTAAACCAAGCAGCAATTCAGCGGCACCAAACAAGTCAACTACAGGACACAACATTACTATAGATACCTGTGGATATGTAAGAATTCAATTTATCTCCGTGGAAGACACGCGATATTATATAATATAAAACAAAGAACTTGATGATGACAGTAATTATTGCATTTATTACAGGCAACGATTCAAGCTTGCACACAAATTGTAAAGAGACTCGAGCCGATTAAAAAAAAAATGAAAAATCCGAAGTGGGAGGACATCGTTTTCAAAGCGTATCAAGAAGGAATTAATTTATGCGAACGTTATGTGTAAATTTCATTAAATAAATTATATTTGATAACACATCACTCAATAAGTTCCGGGCCTGACATAATAGATGGCGCACTAATAACAAATCCATATGATTTTTAGAAAGTACTAAACCTTCAACATACGTGTCAAAATTTTAGCTCAATCGGACCTTTACTTTACAAGTTACAGTGGTTTAAGTGACGCTACTTTTGCATTTTTCGAAACAATGGAAAAATCTGAATTTCGTGTATTGATAAAGCATTGCTTCTTGATGGGATAAAATACCGTTCAAGTAAAGCAATGGCTTGATAAGTGTTATTCGGACTCTGCTCCGTCGGAAACAACAGTTGAAGTGGTATGCTGACTTTAAACGCGATCGTACTAGTAAAAACACAAATGATGCTGAACGCTCTGGTCGCCCAAATTCGACAAAAGTAGCGTCACTTCAACCATTGTAACTTGTAAAATAAAGGTCCGATTGAACTAAAATTTTGACACGTATGTTTGAAGGTTTAGTACTTTCTAAAAATCATATGGAGATTTGTTATTAGTGCGCTATCTATTATGTCGGGTCCGGGACTTATTGAGTGATGTGTTACATTAGTGACACTTTATATCACACAAAGTCGTAAAACATTTTAACAAATTTTCGGAAACATTTTACATCCGTTAAGGAGAAACGCTCCTTATCTTTAGCATGAAACAAGTTACAATAAGCTGTAAAAATACGGTTTAAGTAAACCATTAGCATTTTTTATTATCATTATGATATGCATCATATTTATCATGTGTTTTCGGAATAATTTAAATAGATAAATAGATTTAAACTTTGTGTATTTATACAGTGGGAAAACATTTCTTAAAATGCCATACGCATAATTAATTATTATATAATACATTCCATTTACCTTGGCAGGTTAGTTAGCGGGTTAACGGAAGATACGTTAAAGCCTTACCCTATTTACGGTGTTACCATTGCCGAAGTGGAAATCGATGTGCTGACCGGTCAGCACGTTGTCAGAAGGGTTGATTTGATGATCGATGCTGGTGAAAGCTTGAATCCAGAAATCGATGTCGGTCAGGTGGAAGGAGCTTTCGTGATGGGAATGGGATACTGGATTTCGGAGGATCTGGTGTATGATACTGAAACAGGATTATTAATAAATAACAGATCATGGGTAAGTTAACTTTTGTCAAATTTCGATTCTTATAATACGTCAAGACGCAACTACTTCTCTTTATCAAGATCGTCCGAAGTATATAGAGTTAAAATAAAACAATAATGAATATGTGGATAGACTATGAATCAACGTTAGATGTTATTGTTAATTATTTATTTAAAACTCAGGTAAACAACACAAATGTTTCGATCCATATCGGATCATTATCAATGCGACAATATTATAATTAAATACTTTATAATTATTATCCTAATATAATTCCAAATATTTTACCTTGTGAAAATATTTAAATGTGTAGAAATTAAACCAAGATTAAGACAAGATTAAATTCCTAAAAAGCTAATCCTCACTAATACGTTATGTATAGATAACTATTTTTACAAGACTATATTTTTGCAATATAAAATATTTGGAATTAAATAAGAACAATAATTATAAATTATTAAATTTTAATATGGTCATATTGATAATGACCCATTAGGAGTCGAAACATTTGTGTGTTATTTATCTGCATTTTAAATTAGTAAACATGTTAACAATAACATCTAGCTTTGACTCGTAGCCCTTACATTTATCAATGTTTTATTTTAATAATTGAGCTTATTCTTTATTTCTGTTATACATCATTAAATTATCTGAAAGGTTTGATTATTTTCATAGAATTATATGCCACCAGGAGCAATGGATATTCCTGAAGATTTCCGCGTATACTTACGCAAAAGTTCGACCGGTTCAAAAAGTAAGACTAAATTTCTCCTCTCTGTTCATATTAAATTTTACTATAAAGAATAAAATCTTGAATATATTGTACATATGTTTGCCTAAAATTAATAAATTCGTTATAATTCTCTTTTAGAAAAAACTTTAAATGCACATGAATTTAATCGATTAAGGCTATATTACATCTGTCACATTATAAAGCAATTTAAAACGCATTGATTGTCTACAAGAAAATAAAGTTGTCGGATCTTTTTATTCTAGTATAGCCAGAGTCAATAAACTCAATATCTTTGTCGTACGATAAATGTAATATCAATCTTACAAATAACGCGCGTTTCAATAATTCATTTAATTTAAATAAAATAGACAATATAAAAAAATATTAAAATAAAAAAGATTTTAATTCTTTAATGTTCTGAAATTGGTAGTACTAACTAATATAGAGAAACAGGGCAATGAGCCAATAAATTACGTTAAAAATTTTTTTAAATTAATTTAATATATTGCGAAGAATATCACGTAATTATGGCGTTTCGTCCCAGCTTCCACTACTGGACTCATCAGTAAGGCATTGTAGTGGAAGCCTACCTTAGACGTTTGGGAGAGTTATTCAATCGAGATTCTGTATGAAGAGATATACGCGTATCAAGGCACTTGCGAGAATTTGCGAATATCGATAGATCTCTGATGGCAGGTCGTCGACGTAGTAATATTTTTCGCAATATTTATCCAAAGTAATATATGTTCCCCCCCCCCCCCAACTTGGTAATATTAATTTTGAAAATATCTTTGCAGCAATCGATGAACCACCGCTTTGTATGAGTTATGTAATTCCAATAGCAATCCGCAAAGCATTGAATTCTGCTAGGAGAGATTCAGGAAATAAGGATCTGTGGTATCAACTGGGTAAGTTTTAACCAGAGATATATATCCATTTTGTTAACATTCAACATATGAGACAAACTTGATAATATGTATTAATTTTTACATTCCTTGAACCAATTACTAACTACTGAGTCGCCATTGTATTGTACTTAAATGTCATGCTTATATTTAAAAAACGTTTTTTAAATATTTTTCTAATCTAATCTTTTCTTTCTCTCTTTTTTGTTTAAAACGAATCGAATGGGCAATTTAAAAAGAAATGTGTTTTCATATTTTATAGTCTCTTATTCTCTAGACCGTTTTTTGAATGCTATTATAATATTATGAATAATATCTTGTTCGCATTATTACGATGTACATTACTCAAAATTTTTAATTTTATATAAAAATAACTAAATATACATTATTCTACATAATTAATTTAAATTTTCACAGTTTTCTCTACAAATCGTTCTTATAAATTGTTATACATGTATATCTGTCTTTTAGAACTCTATTATAATATTTCGATTTATATTCATAAATCATTTGTAATATTTGTAGATGGGCCATGTACGACCGAAAATATACTTCTAACTAGTTTAACCAGAAGGAATCTTATGTTGATGACAGATAAAGTGTAGAAGTGGAAAACGATCTCAAATAATTTAGTATTTAAAATAAGTTTTATATTTATTTTGTTTTTATTTCATTGTTATTAAAATAGAATATTTCGAACATTTTGTAAAATAAAGGATATAATTTATGCATTTATATGTGTTTTGTTGATGTAAAACTTTCATTGTTAATTATGAAATTATGATAATTAAACTAATAAATTTTGAAAATGCTTATATGTATCTTCTTATTTTGATAAATTTTTGATTAAATTTTCTCGATGCAATAATATATTAGGCGTAGTAAAAAGAAATTCATTATTTTTCCAATTGATGGCTTTAGTAATCTGTATCTCGCGTTGTATAAGTGCGATCGGGTTACACTTGATGACGTTAGAAAGATAAGATTTCGTACTAAAAAAAACTTCTGAGACAGTTTTGTGATTGCTTGACTTATAATTAGTGTTGTTTGAGCGCGCGTCAAAGATGGACACCAGCAAAGAGAAAATACATCATATTTTTTCTTCGATAAAGGCGAAAACGCAAGCCAGGCGGCTGAAAATGTGAATAGCGTTTATGGTCCTGATACTGTAACAGCCAATCACGCGCAATTTTGGTTTCGTCGATTCCATTCCGGTAATTTTGATGTCAAAGATGCACCCCGCTCTGGAAGGTCAATTGTCGAAAATGTCGATAAAATAATGGAAATCGTCGAGTCCGTCACGTAAGCACTGTTTCGATTGCCCAGAAGCTAAACATTGCACAAAAAACCGTTTGGAACCATTTGAATAAGGCTGGATACAAAAAGAAGTTCGATGTATAGGTACCACACGAGTTAACGCAAAAAAACCTCATGGACCGAATTTCCATCTGCGAATCGCTACTGAATCGCAACAAAATCAACCCATTTCTGAAGTGGATGGTGACTGGTGATGAAAAGTGGGTCACTTACGACAACATCAAGCGAAAACGGTCGTGGTCGTATCGCGGTGAGCCGGCGCAAACGGTGGCCAAGCCAGGATTGACGGTCAGGAAGGTTTTGCTGTGTGTTTGGTGGGATTGGCGAGGAATCATCTACTATGAGCTGCTCCCCTACGGCCAAACTCTTAATTTGGACCTGTACTGTTAACAATTGTACCGTCTGAAGGAAGCAATCGCCCAGAAGCGGCCAGCATTGGCTATTAGGAGAGGAATTGTGTTCCATCAGGACAACGCAAGGCCACACACATCGATAGTGACTCGTCAGAGCTTGGTTGGGAAGTTCTTATGCATCCACCTTATAGTCCGGACCTGGCTCCAAGTGATTACTACCTGTCTATGGCGAATAATATTGCTGGTGAAAAATTCGCCTCAAGAGAAGCTTATGAAAATCGACTGTCCTAGTTCTTTGCCAATAGGGACGAGGGTTTTTATGAGAGAAGCATAATGGAATTACCTTCAAAATGGCAACAAGTTATCGAACAAAACGGTACATATTTGACCTAAATCGGATCATTCTAACTATTAAAAAATGAATTAATAATAAATAAATAATAATAAAGAATAATTAATTAATAAAAATAGAAATAAAAATGATAATTAATTTATTAATAATAATAAATTAATTATTAATTATTAATTATTAATTAATAAATTAAATAAATAAATTTTTAATTAATCTTTAAAATAATTTTTCATGGGATTATGTTTTAAATGTCAAAGCCTCTATTTTCAGTTACACATTGTTGATTATCATCGGACGATTTTCATCGTAGATTTAAGGCTAAACTTAAAGCTTAACTTTCAACATCGCGTTAATTTAAGCCACAAAATAATTTTTGCAACTCCGTAAATTCGATTGATTTTGCAAAATTATCGAGATTATCTATGAATTTCTCATCTCACTTCTTAACGTAAAAGTCTACGATGAAAATCGTCCGATGATAATCAACAATGTGAAATTGAAAATAGAGGTTTTAAAAAAAGAGAGGCTTTTAAATAGACAAGGAAAGAATTATCGCCTATAACGGTCAAAGCTAGATCAAAGTGCTTATTATAAATATGTGTGAATTTTTATATATACTACATATGTAGTCCCCCCATAATTGCGCGCTGATACAATCAGACATATAACGCATAAATACTACAGTAGTATTATAATATCACCGATAAATACTTGATTAATTACAAATAAATATAAAGATGTTAATTTAAAATTCCGTAAATAATTGGATCTTATTAATTTTAGTATATTGCGAAGAATATCACAAGTTGGCGTTTCGTCCCAGCTTGGATACTGGACTCATCAGTAAGGTAATGTAGTGGGAGCCTACCTTATACGCCTGTGTTAGATGTTAAGTCGAGGTACTATATGAAGAATTATACGTGTGTCAAAGCACTCGCGAGAATTTGAGAATAACTATAGACCTCTGAAGGCGAATCGACGAAGTGATATTTTTCGCAATATTTATTTTAAGAAATAGCGTCTTTTTGCAGGCAACGCGTAATAATAAATATTAAATAATTTTTTTTTTGACACACATGAATTAAATACTTATGTTAGTGACAGCCCGTGATATAGATTTTAATTAAGGCTGCGGCTAATTGATGCTACGAATGCTTCGAAACATTTTTTGATTAGACAATTAGTACAATTCTTTCTTCTGATTGGTCAGTCAAAAGCTACGAAGCATTTGTAGCGCCAAGTGGACCGCACCTTGAATCAACAGCATTTTTTCTCAATGTATAAAAAATAAAAATACATATACAAAGTATATGTAGGACGTTTTATAACACGCATATGTACAAATACTGTCAAAATAAATTCAAACCACAACAAATCTATCTGTCCCATTTGATATTGTTTATAAGTTACAAACGTTTTCGTATATCATTGCGAATAAAATCAACGTTGAATATAATCAGAGAAAGTATTTACTAATAGTCAATAAGAAGACGCGTGAACGTGAAGACGTGTGATGACGTTACGCTGGCAGTAAATCCGTGATTATAACGAGAAATAGTGAAAAACATACGAAAACGTTTATTACTAGAAAATCAAGTTAGATAAAACAAATGTCTATATTAAGATTTTGAATTACATTTACGTCATGAATTCATTCTGATGTTATGCGACTATATTTATGAAATAATCAATGTAAAAAAATGTATGTAAATGTATATGTACGTGTGTATATATATATATATATATATGTATTTATACATGTATGCAAAAAATTCAAGTAGAGAACGTTCCGTATTTGCTAAGTATTGATTTACAAAATAAATCTTTACTAAAAAAGTATTCTTTGAAAGATAAATAAAAAATTTATACGATTTTATGGATTAATGTACGTACGATTACATTTACATAAATGTGAATACATTTTTAAACACTATGGATTTTTAACCATTTGAAAACATTACACAAGCTTTACAACAATAATATTTTTGTGCATAGTGTATGGTAAATAAATTGCATTACGGTAAAATCGATAAATATCTGTAAAAGAAAGTAGTAGTATCTGTAGTATCTAACGATTATATTTTATCTCACTTTTAAACAGTGTTTCTACAGTTCCCACAGACAAAGTGTTTTTATAGGTATTCCAAATCTCATCATAGATAAGGGATAGATATAGTTCTAATTCGATACGATTTATGAGTGAAGATGGAAATTGTAAGAGCGTAAGTCTTTGACACAAATTTATACAATGCAGAAATTATTGCAGTGTTGGTGCATTAAATAGTTAAAACAAAATTTTGTTGATTATTAAAGTGACCTTAAATATTTTATCAAAGTTTTATCAAATTTTTTTGTTCTTTATTCATTTATATATTCACTGTCTAATATAAAACCATATATCTTTTTTATTAAACGTAACGTTAAAATATTTCCTAATTCAATATGTTTAGATCCAGCGACAACAGTGTAAACTTTAAAATTAATGGAGTACCATATTCGAGTACGTATTCTTAGTACGAAATGTGGAATTAAGGAGAAATATAAAATTTTGATCATATTATCAAAAGACTAAGTAACATGATTTATAACAAAAAGAAATCACAGATTTGAATATGTTAATAAAGTCTAATCGCAAAATCTCTCTATCTCTCTATCATATTTTTTAGTGACAAAATTCATCACAATCAATAAATTTAATTGTATAAATACCATTATAAAACGAAATTATAAAATTTAATTGTGGAACTTTAAATGTAACTGTGGGTTTTAGAAATAAAACATAATACGCATATCAGTTGAGAATTTTATAAATTGATTTTAAAGATGATAAATTTCTTCCAGTTTTCGATCAAAGTATACCCGTTGATACCTCCCTCCTTGTCTTTATTCGCGAATATGCGAAACTTCGAGGCACAAAAGCGATGTGTCATGAAGGTGATTGCGGTGTCTGTATCGTAAATGTTACATTCAAGAACAAATCGATAGCAGTAAATTCCTGTCTTGTACCGGTACTGATCTGCGATAAGTACGTATATATTCAAGAGATACCTACTAAATAATCAAATTAATTTCCAAGGACATGCTTATAGGATTTGAGTAATGACATTATATGCGCTTGCGCAAAACTATCGTCTTTTACGATAAAACAAATTAATTATCGAAATATTAAAATTTCTTTTTTTAACATTTATACTTACACTTTTTATTTATTTTTTATACCAATTTCTTAATTTCTGAATATACCGAGGATATATTTAATATTAACTATTATTTCATTCTATATTATGTCACAGATGGGATATTTATACGATTGAAGGTATTGGAAACAAGTATGACGGTTATCACACGGTTCAAGCAGTACTTGCTAAAAAAAACGGCTCGCTATGTGGATATTGCTCACCTGGCATGGTGATGAATATGTATAGGTAGGAAGTATCAAAATGATCAATTTTTAATTTGTAATTTACAAAAAATGTTATATCGACATATTGTTAATATTCTTATTTTTATGATAAAATCCTTTCAAAGCTGTTGGACATTCAAACAAAGTTGCATACAAAAAATGGAAAGATTAACATATATATAAATATATTAGAAAATGAATCCTTATAATTGGATAAACGTACCAGTTAGTAAACAATTAAAATACATAACTTAATGACCTAATTTGTTGGACAAAATGGTACAACATTTATATATCGATTACATATATATCATTGAAATTTTAATATATTTGGAATGTTTAACAATCTTGTCCAACAATTTTATATCCACTAACTGGTAAACATTTATCTTAAGTCCAATAATAAACAAATAAATTGTAAATCAGAATCACTCAAAAATTTAAATTGTACAATACTGCTAAGTATAGTTCAAATAAAAATAATTAAGTATGATCAAACGATTGTAAAGTTAAAACTCTGTATTATTGAATATATATTTCGCAGTCTCGGGATTGGTACTTCAAATTTATCAGAGGAGCAAATCGAAAATTCATTTGCTGGTAATCTTTGTCGATGTACTGGATATCGTGCAATTTTGGATGCGTTCAAGGGATTTGCTATCGATGCACCTCCATCATTGGTGAAGGACATTCATGACATTGAGGTGCTTGCGCAAAAAATTCCTTTTTCTCTCTCATTTCAAAAATTTTATCCTTATTTCTGTTTAATTTTATTCTCAGAAAGATAATTTCAATTTATTATTACAAAAGTAAAACTTATAAACGGTAATTATAATAACGACTCACTAGTACTCTACATCGTCTTCATCCTGTTGTAAATGTAAGAAAATATACTTCGCAGGAGTCATATCAGATCAAACCTTGCCGGAAATTCGGAATACCATGCACACAAAGTTGCTACAATAAGCCTTCCGATGGTACAACAATGTTGAGCATAAAATTAGAGGACGTATCTTTCTACAAAGTTTCCACGGTCGAGACTCTATTTACATTATTAAATAACAATCCACAGGCAACGTATATATTAAATGGAGGAAATACTGCACATGGTAATTCTTCTGTATTAGTTTATACAAACACTTGAATATATATAGTATATATGTGTATAATAAACGCTAAAGCTGTATTAAAGTTGGGAAAATCGAATTTTCCAATCCAAACGTAACTTTAACGTTTTATTATAAAAAATTACAACGTTATAATCAAATTGTTTATCGTAAAAGATATTTGAAAATGTAATCCTTCCCAACTCAGCTATTAATCTCACATAATCAAAATATAAAAGTAAGCCTGGATATGGATATACATATAATATTGTAGAAATTGAATTTTGCAGGTGTTTATCGTTCGAGCAAAAAAGATATGTATATTGATATAAACGATATTCCAGACTTCCATCAGATTTCAAAATCCGATTTTGGTATCGCAATAGGAGGAGGTTTAAGCCTTACTACTGCCTTACGGACCATCCAAAAATATTCAAATGATACAGGATTTAAATATCTAAGTCAATTGGCCGAGCAGATAGAAATGATCGCAAATATTCCCGTACGAAATATTGGCACTATAGCAGGGAATTTAATGATAAAATACGAGCACAATGAGTTCCCATCCGACTTGTTTTTGATACTAGAGACTGTCGGTGCTGAAGTACACATCCTGGAAAGTCCCTCTAAAAAGCAACGTTTTAATTTATGGGAATTTCTAAAGCTCGACATGCATCATAAAATTATCTCTCACATTTTTCTATTATCGCATCGTGATAACGACTATGTATGCAGATTCTATAAAGTCATGCCTAGAGCTCAAAACGCTCGCGCTCACGTCAATGCCGGCTTTTTCTTCAAGATCGACATCGATGGCAGGGTATACAGACATTTACGAATTGTTTATTTTACTTTTTTATTAATTATTCATACTTATATTTGAATTTTCTTCAAGTTTTATTTGTTTACATTTACAATATTTTTCAAAAAGGTGTATGATTGGCCTAACATTATCTTCGGTGGCATCGATAAGGATTTCATTCACGCAAAATGCACGGAGCAACTGTTACTGAATAAATCTGTTTTCGACAAGGAAGTGTTGAAGTCATCCTTGCAAACGTTGCATAACGAGTTACTGCCTGATAATGTGCCGCCAGATTTGTCGCAAAAATTTCGGAGAGTTCTTGCCGAAGGATTATTTTACAAGTTTTTGTTAAACATCAAACCGCAAAATGTAGATGCTTTTTATCGTAGTGGACGCACCTTATTAAAACGAGGTCTCTCTTCAGGTACATATAATAAAGTGTCTATAAACTGTTTGTAAACTGTTGTAATTCTTCTATTATATATATTTACATAAATCACTGCCGTATATTCGGGTAATAATATTTTTATGAGGTGATAAACGATAAGATATATATTTTGCAAGCAATTCGAATGTATTTACCTACAAACAAAGTAACTGTAAAAGTTCCTATTCGGAATTTGAGACGTTTTCAATATGAAAGTCGTGTAAAAGTTATCTGTAAAAGAAAACTCAAATGCATTGTGAATATGTTTATTTACAGTTAACATCGTTAAAAAGCACATTTCAATTGTGTCTAAATTATATCTTATAATATTCTCTTATACACAACATTGTAATTTAATATTTATCACACTAACGAAGTATGGAAGCTCATAATAAGCATTTTACTTATTGATTGCAATCATTTTTAGTGGCATAAGGCTTCTTTAGTTTTATTTCGAAAAACCTACTTAATAATCTAGATAATTTTGGTATTAGAAAAATAGAAAAATGGCTGTTTGAAATTGATTTATGTATAAAAGAACTCGTAATATGTTCCAACTGATTGTCCAAAGTTATTTATACAAAAAGAATTCACTTTTTTAGGTGCGCAAGAATACGATACAAATATGAACTTATGGCCAGTTAATAAACCTATGCCAAAATTAGAAGCTCTTGAGCAGACATCAGGCGAGGCTCAATATTGCAGTGATCTGGGTCCATATCCTGGAGAAGTGTTTTGTGCCTTCGCCGTCGCCGAAATCAATAAAGGCCAGATTGATATAATAGATGCCAATCAGGTTCTTCAAATGAAGGGTATAGTGGCATTTTTCACCGCCAGAGACATACCGGGAATGAATTTATGTATTTCTGCCGCCAGCAAGTTAACGTCCTTACCGGAGAATGAAATACTGTTCGCTGAAACGGATGTTTTGTATGCCGGTCAACCGGTCGGTGTAATTGTCGCGGAGACGCACAAGTTAGCGAATGAAGCTGCAAAATTGGTAGAAATTACATATAAAAAACCTCCAAAAACGAAACCGATAATAACTATTGGCGATGCTATTAATACGCAAGATGCAACTAGGTTCAAATTAAGTGCACATATTCCAGCAAAGAAGAAAGGTAGAAACTGAGAAAAAAAAACAGATTTAACATTTAAACAAATTATTTTCTTTTTGATTGCAGTAGATTTAACTTTGCCGAAGTGAATAGTTACTTTAAAAGTAAATGAATAATATATTGAAATAATTTAATATTAATATTATATTATATTAATTAATAGTAATATTATATTGAAATATATTGAGATAATTTTATTTTATTTTACAGGAACCGATATTCGACGCGTGATAAAGGGCAACTTTAAATTAGGTAACCAATATCACTATACTCTAGAAACTCAATCCTGCGTATGCATTCCTGTAGAGTATGGTACTGTAGAGATGGACGTATATCCATCATCACAATGGATGGATCTGATTCAAGTATCGATCGCTAATTGTCTTAATGTCCGGAATAATAGGTAACTTATTAATCTATAGAGTCAATCTCTTCAGTGTCAAAATAATTATACGAGCATTAGTCCAATTAGAATAATATAGTTTATACATTGTAATTACATTAAAAATGATAATTACATAATATATTAACATTATCTTTAACACTACATCGTTAGATTTTAATATGTCTTCCAACATATTATTAAGATCCAATAAGATGCTATAAGCATTAAAAAAATTGTTAAATTGCTTGTCAATTTAACTAAGTGATATTACCACGGTAGTTCATTAGAGTTGCGTTGTAAGTCTGAAAAAATTTCGGCACGTCATTAAGAGAACTACATACGCGGTATATAAAATTCACACATAATTATAATAAGCACTGTTGATCTAGCTTTGACCGTTACTAGGCTTCTTTCTTCTTGTTTATTAATTATATATATTATAGTATATATATTATATATATATGCATAAATACATACATATATATACACAGAATGTCCGAAATTTAATTGTTAAAACTTTATAAGTGCGTAAGCGATAAACTAAGAAAAAAAAGTCTTGTAGAACATTTTTTCGTTTGTACTTCGTTTTATAAAAAATTGCAATAAAGACAAGACGTAATTACTTCGTTCTTGGACATGAAAAAGTACTGAATTGGTCACTCTGGTTACCTAATCTTACGTACACCACTGGACTTTTTTGTCCAGTGAAGAGTCTTAAAGCACAAAGTTTATTCATTGTCAATCAGCTCAAGAAAACAATTGATAGAAATTGAATCAAAGCTGCACTAAATATCACTAAATCAGTGTTTGACTACAACACGAGCAGTCCGTACTGATAAATATACTTGCATTTTTGCCAACATTTCAAACAATATCCACATTAAGCAAATGAATAAATACAATATAAATAAAAAATAAATAATAAATGAATAATAAAAGTACAAAAATATAAATTACGTTTTATCCTTTTTGAAATTTTCTCCAAAACAAAGCAAATACGAGCATATTTCTAGAAGACTTTTTTTCTTAGTTTATCGAGACTCTATATGCTCCCGAAGTATTAACATTTAAATCCGAACACCTTATATATACAGCCAGAATATTCTTAAGATATACTATTAACAGTGTATTATATGTTATTCACATTTGCAAAATATAAGTAAAGTTAAAAGTAAAATTGTTTAATATGAGTTTAAAAATGCAAATATATTTGTATATTATATGTGATATTCCCATTTAAGTACACTGTATTACAAAAAAATTAGAACATTCACGTAAAATTATAAAATACATTATTGCTTTCATAATTTTCCAATAAATATGAGACATATTTATACAGTGAGAGGTAAAAATATTAGTTACAGCAACATAGAATAATTATAAGTTTTCGATATAAATTGTGTAATATTTACACGTATTATAAAGTATATAATTTTATATAATCTAATAAGTATATACATATAATAAAGTATATTTGAGACATACATAATCACCTTTTCCTTATGATATATTAATTAATAATGGCTTGTTAATATCAAAATCAAATTATAAAGTCTTGAAGATTAAAAAATGATTATTTATAATATAAAAATTGAAGTTATACATGATATAACATAAGAAATAAATTATTTCTTTTTTCTTATATATTGAAATTATCATACTTATTAAATAAACAATTAAAATAAATCAATATAATATTAGAAAAATGCATTTTATGAAATAAATTTTGCTCGAGTGAATTTAACTTGTCTAGCATCAATGTGCATGTCAGACGACTTGGCGGTTCCTACGGGTCGAAAATCTCACGCAACGCGCAAATTTCATGCTCTTGCGCATTGGTATGTCATATATTGAATCGTCCAGCACGATTCGTCATGACAATAGAGAGTAATATGCAATCGATAGGCAAAAGATGTTCTACGCTTCATGAATATGAAATCGGAGTAAACAATAATGGAATTATACAGTATGTCGAGTCGCAATACTGGAGCAACACTGGTTCTAGTTTCAACGAATCGCAAGCTGCCATGGTAGCTTCTTACATGAAAAGGTATCGAAGCATAACAATGCAGTGCAAATAAAAATTTAAACAATTTATAACATAATGTAATATATGTGTACACACACGCACGCACGCACACATGTATATTCATGACTGTCAAGTAAGTTTGGTAAATATATAGATTAGGGGATCCACCCCCGATGATCTTGACCTTGACATATGTTGTCAAGGTCATGACCCTGAGTAACCTCCCGCAGGTTTTAGGTGGCGGTCACTGTCCGTTAAAAAGTTATTAACAAAAAAAGTTTCAAAATTAACGTACCATTTCTCGGAAATTATACATATTAACGTATAATTTCTGCCATATATGTATTATAACAAGTACTATTTTACATCTCCTTCTGTTTAAAGTAACTCTCACCTCCCCCAACCCCCTGCGAAGGGGCACACGACTTCTACGATTGTACTGTTGCTATGATAGTACTGTCGGGGCAGACCTCTGTGACGGTGTGGGTGCGGGGGGGGTGGCCGGAGGCCGAATTCAGAGGTCTGCCCCGACAGTACTATCATAGCAACAGTGCAATCGTAGAAGTCGTGTGCCCCTTCGCAGGGGGTTGGGGGAGGTGAGAGTTACTTCGTGTGGAAAGTTTAACGTTTCTGAACAAGGAAAGGTGTAGAATTTCGTGTCTGACAACAATATATAGTGGGATGAGAATCGCATCGCTTGGAAGTCACACTGTACAATTGAAATAAAACGTAATTTTTCAAACTTTTTTTGATCATAACTTTTTAATGGACAGCGACCGCCACCTAAAACCTGCGGGAGGTTACTCAGGGTCACGACCTTGACAACATATGTCAAGGTCATGATCATCGGGGGTGGCTCCCCTAATCTATATATTTACCGTAAGTTTTTTTTTTAAATCGGCCTCTCAGTTCAAAAGCTTCCATTTCATGCCAAAAAAACACTTCTATAATATTATAATCCATTGGACTTACTTTGCACAATATTTTAAATTGTGTCTAATTTTTAAGCATATAAAAATATTAGAATAAATTGATAAATTTTTATTTAATTTTAAACATAATTTTAAATCATATTTTGTAAATACAAAAAATATCACAACGCTAATACAAATAAACAAAATTATTTTGATTAAAAGTAATAAAATAATTTTTAATAATTAGCTGAATCCATTTTTTTTTACCATTATAGTAGTTGCTATTCAACTGATACTTGGTCGTTTAATGGATTTGACGTGAGAACCGACTTACCGTCAAACACGTTTTGTCAGGCATCTGGATCTACAGAAGGAGTGGCTATGTTCGAGGATATAATGGAGCAAATTGCGAAATTCATCGATAAGGATTCCATAGAAATCAAAATCGCTAATATGAATGAAGTGGATCAATCTATATTAAAACCTATGATAACGGATTTGATGAAAAAGATCGATTATAAGAAAACCGAAATTAACATTAACTTGTTTAATTCAAACAATCGTTGGAAGAAAAAGGGAATAGCCATGGTACCAATGAAATGTATCATAGAAAACAAAGGGCGATTTGACGCAATCGTGTCGGTCTGCGCTCACGACGGTTCGGTATGCGTAACGCATAGCGGAATTGAGATTGATCAAGGTATAAATACAAAGGTATGGATATGCTGATGAATCCAAACAAGGACTTTCATTTAGCACAAACAATGCTTTTTATTTATCAAAAACTGATAGAAAATTGTGTGTTTGAAAATTCTATTCCTTTGAATTTGAGTTTCTAATTTAGAAAACTTTGTCATTTAAGACTTCTAGATTTTTAACACTTTTTACTCTTGATACATATTTTTTATTATATTTTGAGAATCGGAATACAGATTAATTATTATCTTATTTTATTGAAATAAGAAAAGTTCGACTTAATAGGTATACATATACGACAATTTATATTTTTGACAATTTTTGACAAAAATAATTCTTGCACGTCAGATTGCTCAAGTAGCAGCTCATATATTGGGTATCGATATGGAAATAATCTCCGTTAAACGAAGTAATAATTTAACATCACCCAACGAGTCAACTACAGGACACAACGTTACTACAGAAAACTGTGGATACGTAGGCATTCAATATCCATCTCTCCATCAGTATACAACACAATGTCATATAATATAACATAAAGCTTGATGTCATCAATTATTACATTTATTTCAGGCAACAATCCAAGCTTGTCAACAGATTTTGGGAAGACTTAAACCGATACGAGAAAAAATGGGAAACCCAACGTGGAAGAATCTTGTTTTCGAAGCATATAAAGAAGGCGTTAATTTATGCGCACATTACATGTAAATGTTACTAAATTATATTTGACACATCAGAAAATATTATATCACATGATAGCATATAGTACTTTCCAAAAATATTATACTTTTATTAAGAAAAAACATTTATCTCATCTTTTACTTGATATAAGTTGTACATAGAAAACACAGTTTAAGAGTTAATGTCATATTTGTATTTCTTATAAATAGGATTAATCGTCTTTTTCTTGTACTTTTTGGAAAATTTTCGATAAATAAGTAGATTTGAACTTTGATTAGAAAATAAGAATCTAAAGAACTAGCTTGATCATTTAGGGCTTATTTCCTAATCGTTTTTATAGTTACATAAACGGTCTCATAAAAGACTTTATAAGGTTTAAACTTGGAATTTACGAAATGGAAAGAGAGATTTGTGATGCTACATAAAAATTATTAATTACAATATAACACATTCTGTTTGTATTTACCTTGACAGGTTGATAATTGAGCAACCGGAAAATACGAAGTCCTTCTCTGTATACGGTGTCACCTCTGCCGTAGTACAGATTGATGTGCTGACCGGGCAGCACGTTATCAGGAATGTTGACTTGATGCTTGATGTTGGTACAAGTTTGAATCCAGAAATTGATATTGGTCAGGTGGAGGGAGCTTTCGTAATGGGAATAGGATACTGGACTTCTGAGGATTTGATTTACGACCCTGATACAGGAATATTAACGAATAACAGATCATGGGTACATTAAATTTGTTAAATTTCGATATACACCTAATATCTTCAGAGATTAACTACTTTGATTCGCCGGAATAATCATAAAAATAAATAATTTGGTTATCTCTGAAGTCTTATCGTTTTTATAGAATTATAAGCTACCAGGAGCAAAGGATATTCCTGAAAATTTTCACGTATACTTTCGCAATAACGTGGACAACGCTAACGGTATCTGCGGTTCAAAACGTAAGTTCTAAACCTCTTAATTCAATCCCAAATAGGAATCCTGAATAGTAACACTGATCCAATATTGTCAGTGTATTTTCGATACTTTGTCAATACTAAAATTGTTAAAAACTAGTGTGTCAGTTGTCAGAATTGAAATAGTAAAACGCCAATACGTTTTCAAAATCATGTTTGTATTTAGTACAATAATCCCGTTCTGCAATAGTACTGTATTATAAGTTCTTGTCAATTTTTATCGTCCTCTATTGTTGTACTAATATGTAAATGGAACATTAGCATATGTCAATATAATACTAGGGAATAATTTTGTTGTATAAAGAAGTAAGTCGCAAATAATTTCTACATCTTTATTTTGATTTGAAAGTTCTTAAAAATTTTTTTTAGAAAAGTTTTCAATTTCATAAAAATTATATTGATTTACAAAAGCGCGCTTTAATAAATGATTAAATATGTTTTAAAAAATAATAAAGATTTAGTAAGAATAAGAAAAGATTTCGGTTAAAGTTATAACAATTGATGTATCGGATTAATCCCAATAATGTGTTTACAGCTATTGATGAATTACCGTTTTGTATGAGTTACGTAATTCCAATAGCGATACGCAAAGCATTGGGTTCCGCTAGAGAGAATGCAGGAAATACGAAATTGTTTCAATTGGGTAAGTTTTAAGCTTATTTGACATATTCATACAACTTAATGTGCAACATAAATCGCTTAATTTTATGATTTGGATTAATATCTCCTTTTTTTAACGAGTACTAGTCATTTAATTATCATTGTACTTCAGTTTGTAGCTTATATTTAGAAAATATATTTCCAACACTTTTACGAGAATCTATATAGAGTTAGGAAAAACAGAAACACAAAGTTTACAAATTTCAAGAAATTTATTTTAACTCACTACATGTTAATTATTTTTGGTAATTATGCATTATAACGGACCACCCTCCGATGACCTTGACCTTGACGTATGTTGTCAAGGTCATGACCCTGAGTAACCTCCAGCAAGTTTTAGCCGTCGCTCGCCCTTCGTTAAAAAGTTATTAACAATCATAGTTTTAAAATTAACATCGATATATAATACATATATGCTATTAAGTACTATTTGACACCTTCCTTTGTTCAGGAACGTTAAACTTTCCACGCAAAGTAACTTTTACCTCCCCTCCCCCCCCCCTGCACAGGGCACACGACTTCTATGATTGTACTGTCGGAGGAGACCTCTGTGACGGTATGGGTGCGGGGGGGTGGCCGAAGGCCGCCCCCTTGCACCCGCCCGTGTGTGTGTGTGTGTGTGTATTCCATTCATTATATAACGATTATGAGTCTATTACTTGATGTTTTACACACACACACACACACACACACG